CCATCCACTCACCCATCTATCCAGCTGTCCATTTATATCAGAATTAGAGTTTCAAAATGGGACAGTTGGGTCATTTAATACTGTGCTTGTTTGAAAAAAAAGCTGACAAGTATGAGTCTGGGTGGAGTGGTCCCAGCCCTGCCAATGTGCTTTTGTGCTGACATTTCCACTAATCGAGGGAGGTAAACCTGCAGCTTCTAAGTTTCCATGAAAATAGGTCCCTGGCACGTGTTCAGCATGAAATATGCAAGAAGGTAGACGACGTGACTTTTGACTGTTTAAACAACAACACTGAGAAGTTGGGAACGGGCATGTTGGCACCATTGTCAAAGCCACTGGCTCAGAGGGGTGATCTTGGCACAGTGCCCCCCAAAGCCTCCCTTCTGCCTCTGCCGCGTTGCTGTGTTTCTTGCCGAGTGGGGCGCACGCCTGCAGAGCGGAGGGTGTGTGGAGCAGGGGTGCCCTCTGAGTGCGCGCTTCCGTGGACCTCACACGCGTCCGCACGAGGCCGGGGAGCAGCGTTAAGACCCGCCCTTCTCGCAACCCCGTGGCCCGGCTGTGGGAGGCAGCTGGCCGTCACCTTTGCAAACCTCTCTGGTGGCCATGAGGCCATTATCCACCGAAACAGAAGCAGCCCACGGGTCTGATGAGACCGAACTGGGTAAGGTTGCTTTGTGAGAAGCATCACGTTAAAGGGAACTTGTTTTTTTTTCAAGACCGCTTAGGAGGCCGGCAGGCAGAAAGTGACGAAAACAAACAAACCCACCCTGACACACCGGCTTGGAGAACAGCCCCCGGCGTCCAGCGTGGGGCAGGTCCTTCCGTTACCGAGGACGCCACGCCGCCTCAGTGCCCCGGGGCTCAGGGGGGAGGCCACGCTCCCTGTGCCGACACAGAAGATGAAGGGACATCGCTCCCCTAAGAGCCTGGCCCCCAGCAGTGCTGCTCTGAGCACCACCACAGTCTGTCAGGACACCCCTGCCTGAGCACCCAGGGCCTTTGCCGCTGCTCGGGGTGCCCACTCCACGGGTTAGCGTGGCTCCCCCAGCCTGAGCCACAGCCCCCGCGTCAGCGCAGCGGGCTGGTGTGGGGGTGCGGGGGGCGCAGCCAGCAAACGGGCAGATGCAGAAACCCCCGCGGGCCCCTTCCTTCTGGCGCCGAAGCATCCCCCTACCCTGGCAGCTCAGAACCCTGGATCTTGCTTCCGAGAGTGGAGCGGGTCATACGCGGGTCTCACGCGGGTCTCACGCGGTCACACCGCTCACCGGCCTGGGGACGCCAGGGCCCTCCACCAGCCGACTTTCCGGTCACAGGCTCGCGGCCCCAGGCACGGCAGGTTCGCCCGTGTCCTTGCGGGAGCAGGGGGGTGGCTCCAGTGGGGAAGGGGTGCGGGGCAAGAACGGGCCACGCGCCTTCTCTGCTCCCACGCGGACTCCCCACGGCCTCCCCTGGGCTGCCCGCTGAGCCTGCGTGCAGAAAGGATTGGACCCGATTGGCCGAGGCACCCCCTGCGCCCTGGCTCCGGCCTCACCCCTCTGGCCCCAGGAGCCACGGCCACCGGCAGCCTCCAGAAACATCCACGGCACTGCTGGACACTGGACACTTCAACTGTAGGAAAGGCCTTTACCCACTGGGGCTGGGAGGGCGTTCCTCCCGCCCCCCCCCCCCCCCCCGGCCCAGCCCCGGGCTAGAGGCGGCGCGACCAGCCACCTGCACCGGCGTCACCTCATCGTGGAGGGGAAACTGGGAAAGAATATACACAACATGATACTTTTATGTAACAATTTAAAATACCAAAAATCTTAGTGTATCCGGGAAGGACACACCGATAAACGAGTCCCTTGGGTGGCTCCTGCCTCCAGGCACTAAGTGCTGGTGCGATATTGGCCCATTTTACAGAGGAGGGAGCGGGAAGGTGGTTGGGGTCCAGCAGCTCGGTCCAGACCCCACAGGGATTCGGTCCTGGCCCTAAACAGCTGGTGGCTGGGCAGCGAATCTGTAAGGATTCATTTTTACGAAGAGCGAAGGTGCAGGGCGCCTCCCCGTCTGCTCCCGGTGACCAGGCCCCTCCAGTGCGTGTGAATTACGGGGGGGGGGGGTGGGCTCAGAGAAGGTATGAGAAAGCAGGAGTAGGGGAGGCCTGGGTCCCCTCCCCCGGGCGCTGCACAGAAGACACTCCGCGTTCTGGCCGCTGGAGGAAAGCGTTTCAAAGAAACTGGTGAAATCGGCTTTAATGCTGTTCTGCTAAGTCTGATCTACCTGAAACATTCTCATTTTCACAAGTATTCAAAGTCGAAAGCTATTAAGGTATTGGGCGCCCTATTTTTGCACAGACTTTGAAACCCCGCCCCAGGGTGGCCGCGGTTGGGCTGGGGGCCGGGCCCACCTCGGCCTGTTGGGGGTGCACTGAGGCCCAGAGGGGCCCCGTGGTGGGAGGCCCCGGTGTCCCGGGCCGCAGCTGTGTCTGGGTGGCCCCAGGGAGGGAGGGAAGCACCTGGCAGTTTCGGTTTCCGACAGGAAGCTGCCTGCTCCGGTCTCCTCGCCCAGCTGCACCCTCTGTCTCTCGAAGCCCCTGGTGGCGGCCCCGCCTGGAGAGCCCCCCGTGGGGACGGCCCCTCCGTGAGACAAGGAAGCCTGGCTGAGGGGCCAGGGCCAGGCGGAGCCCCTCAGCCTCCTGGGCCCCACGGAACTTGGGAGTGTGATGCCCCCAGGGGCCATGAAGCCGGGGAGGGGCTCTGACTTGCATTTTCTCTCACCTGCTTGTCACCTGGTCCCAACCCTGGTGCAGAGATGCGTGGTGGGAGAGGGGCAGGAACAGGCTTCATATCTGTCTGCCCGTCTGTCTGTCTGTCTGTCCACGTGTCCAGGTCTGGCAGAACCATCCAGAAAGACCCTCCATTGAGGGCCCTGGGGAATACTTGGCGGACAGCGGGGGTGCGGTGCTGCCCAGAGATGCCGAGGAGCCAAACCGTCAGGTCTGGGCGCTGGGGTCCCGTGCCCTGGGGTGCCCGGCACAAACGGGGGGCTGGGGATCTTAGATCCCGCATCCTAGTCAGGGAGCTCAGCCATGAGGAAAGGCCAGAGGCCCAGCCCCAGAGCCCAGGGGCCCCCGTCTGAGGCCGCGTCAGGCTGGCCCTGTGGCCTGGGACCCCTGCTCACCGCAGTTTGCGGTGAGGGGCAGAGCCAGGTGGGGCCATGTGCAAGGCCCCCCCGCCCCTCCCGCTGGCCCTTCCTCCCCGTCTGCTCCCCCTGGTAGGGTCTGCGAGGTCGGGGCTTTCCACACACTCAAAATGCACCCCAACTTGGGAGGGAAGGAGGAAGCTCTGGGGGCCGCAGGGCGGGGTCAGCTCCCCAGTTCCTTCTCCACTGGCCTCTCTGTGCCGCCCCAAGTGGCCTTTGCAGGGAAGGGACTGCAGGGGTCACGGCCAGGCTGCCGGGAGGCGGTGAGCACGGGGAAGGGGCTGGGGAGGTGGGTCTGGACCCAGGGCTGGACGCCGGAGCCATCTCTCCCCAGTCCCCCGGCCTGCCCGAGGGCTGGCCGTCATCCCCAGGTCACAGGTGCAGACAGGCCTGCGGGATCAAGGGGTCACCAGGCCGCTGCCGCACAGCCGAGGGGCCGGAGTCCGAGAAGCCAGGCCACGCAGAGCCGAGCGCAGACCCTTGCCCAGTCCACGTCCTCGGAGCGGCCTCCTCCGAACCCTCCCGTCCCTCTCCGGGGCCCCCTCGCGAAACTGATCCGTCCCCGCGGTGTTTGTGAGGCCCCTCTGGCCCAGGGGAAGGGCACGGGCCGAGGGCACCACAGCCGAGGCCACGTCATTAGGGTAAGGACGCAGAGAGAGCTCCCCGGTGCTGGGCCTGGGCCCCTCTCTGCCGTCTGCCCGGTGTGTTCAGACCTACAAGCCCCTTTGTCCCTGTGTCCCCTCAAGGCTTCGCGCCCCACACTGCTTCCTCTCGGACAGACCCCTGTCCACACCCACCCCTCTGGGAGCCACACCAGAGGTCTACACCTGTCTTACACCCTCAGCTGCAGGAGCGGCCGGCAGAACACCGAACACTTTGGTGGGCAGCAGTCAGCCCCGGGCCAAGGTCAGCCCCGGGCCAAGGTCAGCCCCGGGCCAAGGTCAGCACTCTCAGAGGGTTTCATAGCAGCAGCAGCAGCAGCAGAGGGGGCTTTGCGAGGGCCCGGGGTGGGAGGCGGCACTGCCAGCATCAGCTGGGACTCATGTGACCCAGGTGCCAGCTGTGGGGCACCAGGCAGCACCTGCCTTGGGCTCCGTACGTGGCGCGCAGACCCCACTGCAGGCTCTGAGAGGGTCCGGCCGGGGGCGAGGGCTGCTGGGTGAAGCTCGCGCACTGGGAGCAGCAGAGGCAAAGGGGACCCCTCTCTCGAGGTCCCCGTCGGGAGGGCCTGCTGGGATGTGCTGTGTGACCTCGGGCGGGCTTTCTGACCTCTCTGATTTGCGTCCTCATCTTACAATCAGGCTGATGACGCCTCGAAGGATGGCCGGGAAGCCGCACCCCAGGCCAGGAAGGCGTCTGGCCTGCATTTGCCCCTCCTGCCCCCGCCCCGCCCCGCCCACGGCCTGGGGAACAATAGCAGAGCCCTGCTTCTCTGTCCCCGGGCATGTCCCCGACCCTGTTCGCAGGGCCTGCCGCCGCCAGGGCAACCGTGAGCGGTGCCCCCGGAGGGTCTGCCCACCTTCTCCCAGACGCCAGGCCCAGTTGGTGAGCCCCGAGGGGGCCACACCTGACCCTGCTGACCCACCAGCTCCATGGTGGGGGAAGGGGTGTGCACACGTGGAGGCCTCTGACCGGGGCGGGGGCCCTGTGGCTCCTGCCGCCGGGCACTGTCCACACCGAGACGCCTCAGGCTGCCTCGGGGACGCCCCCTGGCAGGAGAGGCCGTCAGGGTCCAGCAGGGACCACCATGTCCTTGTCCCCACTGCCTGGCAGTGAGCTGAGGCCCACGTGGACACACTTCCGGGAGATTCCATAGCTAGTCATCTGCGCCCGCCTGGGACTCCGCTCCGGGTTCTGAGATGGCCCCCAAATCTGGAGGACTTGACCTTGCCAGGCTGGGGACTGGAGGTGGACTCAGCTGAGGGGCACTCAGAGGGGCCCCGGAGGCCCTCCAAGGCCTCAGCCAAAGCAGCGCTCTCAGCCCCTACGCCGCCCTCCGGTGCAGACGCCTGGCGGCCACCTTGGGGAGGAGGGGGAGGGACAGGGCCTCACCCGGAGTCACTGGGGTGCCAAGCGACCATCTCCGGGAGGCCTGGCCACCATGTGCCCCTAATAACCGGCCACAGGGACCCCCTGCAAGTGACCCTGCCCCTGAACTCTTCCCCTTAGGGGCCGAAGGGTCAGCCCCCAGGTCCACCTCTGGGCCCTGGCCCTGCCTGCCGACCTCGGGCAAGTCACCCTCTGTGTCTTGGCCTCAGTTCCGTGTAGGACAGATCAAGGGTCCGACACAGACGCCCCCCAGCCCCTGTGGTGGCGTCAGCAGCCACACGCCGCATGGGGGGTGGTCATCTCCTCTGAGCGTGGGGTGGATTCACTCCCACCACGTGCTGGGCGCCCCGTGAGCCCGCACCGCTGCGGGCACCGAGGATGACAGTGAGCAGAGAGCAGAGCCCGTGGGCCGGTGCTATGGGGGCAATAGATGACACATAAATGTGGGGACCCAGAAACACGTTTGCTGTTAGAATCATAAACGGGAAGGGGAGGATGCAGCAGGAAAGAGGGGATGAGGGGGGAGCAGGGCAGACGCCTGAGGGAAGGTCTCAAGGCAGGACCGGCGCGTGCAAAGGCCCAGGGGCTGGAAGGGCGAGGGTGAGGGTGGAAACTGGCCAAGGGGGAGAAGCCCCGGGGGGCAGGCGTGCTGTGACCCCACGCGGTGCGTCACAGGCCCACTCCTGCAAGTGACAGAGGCAAAGCGGGCCCGTAAAGCACCCCGAGAAGCCGCACGGACGCCCACCTGCACCCGCGGCGGCTGTCTCGGGGCCCTCAGGCCGTGGCCGTGGCCGTGGCGTCGTAATCACTAGTGCCCAGTGCTCTCCAGCCTCGGGTGCAGAGCAGTCAGTGTGAGTCAGTGTGAGACACGGAGTCCAGTCCACGGCCCTGCGGCCCCGTGGCCGCGAGTGAGGCCCCTCTTGTCCCTGGAGCCGCCCCTCCCTCGGCTGAGGCCTCGTCCAGAGCGGACGGCGCTGGGAAGGAACGCGGATGGCGGGTCCTGGCTTAGCGGACACCAGCTCCGGCCTCTCCCCGGGGCCGCGCTTCCTGGCTGCGCCTCCCATGATCAGCTGTAGTCACGGAAGTGAAAGTGTGAGAAAGCCCCACACAGCCGGCTGCTGCGTCGGGCTAACACGGACGCCTCTCTTTTCTGTCAAGATACCTCGAGAAGTGAAAGCCTTCTTTGCCTCCTCCAGCTGCCCCCCTTGGGACCACTTCCTCCAGGAAGCTGGCCTGGATTGCACCCACCCTGCAGCTCTGTCTTGCTAGGCTCAGATTCGGGGTTCAGTGGACCGGGAGGACACGGCTGGTTGGTGTCCTCCTGCTGGCCCGTCTCGGGAGGCTTGTGGCACGGGGACCGCACGGGGAGGGGACAGACACGTTCAGCAGAAACCAAGGGCCCCAGGGACAACACACCCCCACTACCGGGGGAGGAGGGATCCTGGCTTTTCCCAGGAAGCAGAATCTTTCCTCCACGGGCTCCTCTGCGTCCTGACACAGGCTCCGGGACGGGGACTCTGCCCTGGAGCCAGGCTTCCTGAGCGCATCCAGAGCTCCCGGGTGCCCAGAGGCCCCTTTATTAAAGGTCATCAGATCGCCCTGGCTCCATCTGTCTGTCTGTCCGTGGTGCTGCCGGCTTCCCACTGGGCTGTGGCCCTGGGACCGGCTTCCCTCCCTGGACGGGCCCTGCCCGCATCCATCTGTAGGGTCAGCAGAGCCAGGCTCGGCCCCACCTCTGCCCTGGCCTGCTGTGCCCCTGGGAACCCTGGGATCTTCTTCTGTGATGGGGGTGTCGGTGACATGCGGGCTCGCAGGCCCCGAGTCACGATCCTGACACGGGGACCCCAGCCCCGTGTGTTCCAGACCAGAACAGGAGGCAGGAGAAGGTGGGGTGAGATCTGTCACCTCAGGTCCTGGGGGCCCGAGCGAAGGGAAAAGCCCCTGCAGCGTGTGAGCAAAGCAGGGCGCGAAAGCCACCCTGCACTCGGCGACGGTGCAGACGAGATCCAACGGCAAAGTTGCTAACGGTACTTTGCACACGGACGCAGACGGATGGTCACAGCCGCGTCACGGGTCAGGCGGTCACCGGGAGGCTCAGCCCTCAGCCCTCATGGCACAGAGGGGCCTTCATGCACAGTCCGACCCGACGCCCTGAGCTCCCCGGGCACAGCTACCTCATGGTCCCCGCAAGCTGGGCCGGGGGCCGCGGCGGAGTGACAGGACGGATGGTGGGGGCTCGGGGCCGAGAAGGGGTGCGGCCACGCCCTGACCGTGGGCTGTGACAGAGATGCGCCCCTTTCCCCAAGCTGCTGCCCGGGTGCAGATGGGACCATTGTGAGTCTGGTCACCTGGATGGGGGGCCCTGAATCCAATGACGTGTCCTTATAAGAAAGGGGGGGACGCAGGGACACGGGAGAAGCCATGTGAAGACAGGGGCCGAGGCGGGAGCCAGGGCCGGAGGAGGGCCTCGGCCCCGCCCACACCTTGATTTTGGGCTGAGGCTCCAGACCTGGGGGCAGACGGATTTCTATTCCAAGCCGGCCAGTCAGCGGTCCCGGGAAGGGCATGCAGGGGGGAGCCCGTGGCCGAGGAGCAGCGGGAGGGGGCGAGAGGGCGGGGAGGAGAAGCCCGGCCACGTGCTGACAGCCGTGGCCTCCGGACTCACCCCGCCCTGGACCAGGCGGCCCACGGCTGGGCTCCGCCAGCCTCCAGGCTCAGGACGGCCCTTTCTGTGGGACCTCGCCCACACCTGCTAACGCCCCAGCCTGCGTTTGCTTGGACGCCTCCAGGGATGGGATGCTCATTATCTCCCTGGACACACGAAAGCTGAACTCCGCCACCTGGACCCCAGTTCTCCCTCTCTGGTGACCCTGGAACTGGCCGGACTCAGTTTCCCCCCAAGGGGAGGTCACATTGAGATACCCTCCGGCCGCCTCTGCTTCAGGCTAAATCGGACTGATTTGGTGCTTCTGCCCCGGGCCTCCTCTGCCAGGGGTGCTGGCTCCCGTCTCCGGTTTCTGTCCCGGGTGCGGCAACGTGACCTGCAGTCCCCCGTCTGCAAAGTGGCCTTGTTGGAACAGGTGACTGCACACACAGTAGGCGCCTAATAAATCTGAGCGGGGTAAACACTCCTTTGTCGGGAGCCACTCTTTGCCACTGCGCAGTCAGGTCTCCCCTCCCCGAGCGGGTCCACCACACTGCGGGGTCACCTGGGGTCCTGACCGACCCGGTCCTCAGCCACAGAGGGCCGCTGAGGGTGCCGGGCTCCCAGCGAGGCTGCTCGGCACCTGCCCGGGGCCTGCAAGGGTGGGGCCACCAGAGGGGCCACGCCGTCTGCCCGACCTCGGGGCCCGCCCCCTGCCAAGCAGGACAGCCAGGGCCACCTCAGAGGTGTCCGCTCTCAGACAAGGCTCCACTCCCCCACTTCAGAAGGTATCACCTACCGCTGTTCTTCCCATACTTTAGAGCCACTGAACATATTCTGGGGTCTGCACGGTGGAGCCGAGCTCCCCACAGGCCGTCCTAGACCCCAAGATCCCAGACACCCAAGAGCTCCCCCAGCCGGCCCGCTGCTCTCCCGGAGGGTCCCCCCAGCACTGCGGAGCCACGGGGGGCCGGGGTGGCTGAGGGGCAGGGCCGTGCTGCGGGGCCGCGGGGAAGAGAAGACGGCTGCGAGCTGGTGAAGCCAGAGTAGCCTGTGCCCACGTGCGCCCCCAGCCCACTGCACCTGCCCAGATGCCTCTGCCCTGGGGCCCCAGCGAGCAGTGAGCTTGGCCTGCACGGTGACCGCAGGTCGGTAAACTGCTGGAGACGATCGGCCCCGGGGGCCCACGGCCCAGCCAGCACCGTGGTGGGGTTGCCACCTCCCAGCTTCAAACTCCGGCCTCGCGCCAGCGCCCCCGCCCCGTCCAGACACAACACAGACCGCGTGCCATCTGTGCTCTCCCCCCGAGGCCTCGGGACAGGGGACAGGACAGGCTTGGCCCACAAGGAAGCCAAGGCGCAGGTGAGGACGCGGCGGGGGGCGGGCGGTGGGGGGGCCGCCCCGGGAAGGGAGGGCTGTGCGGTGCCATCAGGAACTTGACCAGCCTGAGGGGCAGGGTGGCCGTGTCCCGGGGGCCAGCAAGCTGCCCCGCCCAGCAGGCATCGTGGAGTCCCCCACGTGCGAGATGTCCCCCTCCCCACCGCGCCTCAAGGCGGGCTCCTCCACACCTGGGTTCAGGTGCCCTCGGGGCCTGCATGGCAGCCGGTGGGGGAAAGCGGCCTCCGTAGAGGTGGCAGGGACGCCCCTGGGTCGGGGTGCCGGGCACCAGCGCTCTAGCAGTGGGGCCTGGGGCCGTGAGCTCTGGAAGTTTCCAAAGGCTCCTCAGAGTGTGGCCACGTGGCGCGGGCTGGAGAGTGGGGTCACCTGCTCACGGCTGTGCCCCCCCCCATCTTGGGATGAGCCAGGGGCTCTGTGGTGGGGGCCACGGGGGTCGGGGAGGCCTCCCCGTCCTCACTTCTCTCTGGCACCAGCTCCTAAGCAAAGGGGTCTTGCCAGGATGCCCCATCGGTGGGTACTGGGGTTGAGTCCTCGACCATCACTCGACCCCGGGGCCCTGGTCCAGGCCCTCTTCCCTGTGGCCTCATCCAAGCCCAGGTCTCGGGTCCTCCCCAGAGCACTGCACGCCGCCTTCCTCACCAGCTCCCGGGACCCTGCCCGTGGAGGAAGACGGACCCCCGCCCCTCCTGGCCGGGCCGGGGCAGGCGCACCCCCAGCACCTGCCTCAGGGTGGGGCGCCCGCCCGGCACCTGCCGGGTCCTCCGGGGCCACCTGTCCCAGCTGTGTGGGTCTGAGGTGAGTCAACACGCTGGCTCGTGCTGTCAACAGAGCCAGGCAGGCGGCAGCTCTGAGATGTCGCACTCCGGCCACCCCCGCCGTCCCCTTACCTGGGCCGCCCTTCCTGGGACCCTGGGGCGCGGGGCAGCTGCTCTCCAGCACAGGGGACGCCGGGACGCGGGGCTGGAGGCGGCTCCGGGAGGCGGTGCTGGTCCTGGTGCTGCGCGCGACAGGTGGGCAGCCCTCGGGGGGCCGGCGCGCGCCCTTCCCGACCTCGCGGGGCCTCGAGGGAAAGACGAGGGGCCACGGCCGGCCTGGCTCTCTTGCAGCCACAGGCCTCCGACCCCAGACAGCTCCGAGCCTCCCGCCAGCCGCTGCCCGCCAGCCTGGGGAGGGGGCGGGAGGCCGCAGGGGCTCATGTGATGCAGGGCGGGACTGGGGAGGCGCGGGGGGGGGATGGGGGGGCTCCCCGCAGCCGCAGGCAGCCAGCCAGCTGTGTCGCTGTGATAGGGGCCGGGGGCCGGGGAGCGGCCCGCAGCTGGCCCACCGCTTCCTCAACAGGAACCATCTGGGCCCGGCCCTGCCCGGCTTCCCTCGCGGCCATTCCGGTCCCACTTTCCAACAACTTCCTCCTACCGCCGGCCTGGTGACACCACACCCACCTGGAGCCGGACAGCCCGGCGTGTTTCCCCGACCGGGGCCGGGGGAGGGGAGGGGGCTGTGTCCGGGCTGGCCGAGCCCACGTGCCCCGTCCACCTGCGCCCCCAACCTTGGGCCTGGCGCTGCCTCCCCCACTGCCCTCAGCCAGGCTTTCCCTGGAGCCCCCTGTCCCGGGGCCGCTCCCCTGGGCGTCGGCCCTGCCCTGGGGTCAGACCTTGCCTGCGTGTCCTGACCGGCCGCCCCCCGTGCCCCCACCTGCAGGGGCTCTCCTGACCCGTGCCCTCCCCGGAGGACCGCTGCAGGCCTGGCAAGAAACCCCCCCCGAGCTCGGCCTCCTGACTGGGGGCTCCTCAGGGACCCCCTTCCCCACTTCCCGTTGGGACCTTGCGAGGACAGTGGCTGATGTGGAGGGAATCTGCTGGGGGGATTAAACCTGTTCTCCCATCTGAGGGATTCCGGAAGCCATGTCAGAGTCCTTGGTGACCACTCAGTCCCTCTGTATCCTCAGAGCCCCCTCCCCACTCGACACTCGGCTAAGAGGGTGCCAGGTACATCACAGGCACTAAAGAGGCCACGTACGAAGGCAGCCACGGACGTGGGGGGACAGCAGGCGAGGTGGCCTTGTGAAGGAGGCACTGGGCCCCGCAGTGGGCTCCCTTGGGGCCCAATCACGGCTGCAGGCTCAGCGGCTCAAACAGGCCGAAGGCGAGAGGCCCGCGGAGCCGGGGCAGGTGCACAGGCTTCTTTCTGTGCCATTTCCACTCCGTTGAATTGAGGTTTTCAGTGATGCCTGCACGTGGTGAAGACTTCAAGCCGTGCATGGGGGCCCAGCAAGACGTAAGCCCCCTCCCCGTGCTTCCCAGGGTCTTCCTCCAGAGCGCACCGCCGTCACAGCGGCCTGGGGGCCCTTCTGGAACTGGTGCCGTGCACGTCCTACCCGCCCCCCCCCCCCAGGGTTCAGGTGGAAAAGAGGGTCCCGTGAGCCAGCCGGTGCCCGGGCATCACCACCGTCCTCACGGCACTCCTCTCTGCTCCCTGGGCTCTGACTCAGGACGGGTTGGGGGTCTGAGGCCCAACCTGGCCGGTCCCCTCCTGGGTGTTGGGTGATGATGGCGGGGGGGTTGCCCTGTGCATGGCCCGCCCCGAGGTCAGCACGCATGTGCCAGCGTTCCTGACCTTGCCCTTGAAGCTGCTTTCTAGGCTGCACACGGCCAGGCCCCTCAGAGCTGGCAGAGAAAGACCGGGGGCAGGGGCCCCTGTGAAGGCAGCAGGTCGGCACCCGGTGGGCAGCCCCCACCCCCAGGTCGGGCAGATGTTCAGGGCTCGCACCTGCAGGACCCCCCCCCCCCATGGGGCACTTCCACTTTCGGGAAGAAGCCTCGTGTCTGGCCTGGTTTTCTGGCCGTCAGGCCCAATGGGGGATGGGCTGGAAGGAGCAGACACTTGCCCACGAGCAGGGGTGGGGGCTGCCCTGGCCCTTGACGGCCACCTCAAGGGCACCGGCCCCGGCCCTGCTCTGAGCCCCCCCACTCTCCCCGGCCAGGCAGTTGGTGCTTGTGGGGAAGCAGACGTTGGCTGTGGCTTTCAGAGCTGGGCAGCCGGCTGGGAGATAAGGAGCTGAGGAGGAAGTGGCTGCAGGGAGGGTGTGCGGGAGGGGGTGGGGCGCCGGGCCAGAGACCACTGCCGTCTGACCCGCCCCCACTCCCTCCCTCCCCTACAAACACCTACGGGGGCCACGAGGCGCTTGCACAGGTGCCCTGCTTGCAGTCAGTAAGTCCTCAATAGACGTGGCTCAAGGGAGGTGTCTTGGAAGCTGTGTCTGAAGGATCAGTTAGGAGCTGCACCTGGGGCTGTTGGGGGAGAACGTTCTTGTAGACGAGCCTGAGGCAGCCTCACCTCCAGGCTTTCAGGAATCTGCGGGATGGCCAGAGAGGTAGAGGGAGGCCAGTGGGGGCTGGGGGTGATACTGGAGGTGGGCAGGGAAGCCTGTTAGGTGGAGCGTCTTATTTCTGTCTCCTCTTCTAGCATTTAGGAGCCCCCATGACTGCTGGGTGGATGGATGGATGGATGGATGGGTGGGTGGGAGGGTGGGTGGGTGGACAGATGAAAAGATAGACAGGTGGATGGATGGATGGATGGATGGATGGATGAGTAGATGGATGGATGGACAAGTGGATCAGTGGAAACACGATTCTACTCAAAGAGGATGATTCTATTTACAGAGGAGGGACTGGGGCCCTCAGAGGTGATGCCTCTAGTTGCAAAGCTCCCGAAAGAGAGATATAAGTCACAGGAAGATATAAGCCCCAAACAGATCAGAACGGGGTGTGGGCAGCTCCAAGCGGGGCCAGTACTCTGTATCCCAGAGCCCAGGGGGCTGCCAGTCTCTGCCTCAGGTCCTGAGTGAGGTGTGGCCAAACGGCGGTGGACAATACGGACGGGGCAGGAAAGCTGCCCCGCGTGCGTATTCAGGGCAGAACGGAAGCGCCGGCCCAGGGCTACCTGCCCTGCCCACCACTGCCCAGCTCAGGGTGCCACTGGGCAAACTCAGAGCCACCGGGAAGGCACCAGGCGCGTGGCTGGGTAGATACGTGGAAGCTGCGCACACGGGCAGGGCCAGGGCCCGCGTACTTACCGGCAGCGGGGAGGGCGGCGTGATGCTGTCTCAGCTGCCCTGGGCCCCTTCGGTGGTGGGACCCTTGGGCCTTTTCTCAAAATAATGTTTTTGAGAACATAAATGCATTTGTAGATTTATAACGGAAGCCCATTATATTCAAATAAAGTCGCCAAAACGTTACAAAATGTCTAACGTAGTAGCACGTATGCTTTCTTCTACCGCGAGTCTGAAGAAGGGACGGTGTTAACTGCGCTCTGAAGTGCCGTGCAACCCGTTAGGTGGGACCCTGCGACCTCCCGGCCCTCCGGCCGCTGCGGCTGCAAACCAGCAGGTGCCTGAACGCAGGCCCGGGGCTCCGGCCACACAGGATGCTAAGTCTTGGTTAGAGGTCGGCGGACTGACCACTGGTCCGGACCCCCTGCTCTGCCTTATCTTGAAGACCCCTCCCCAGCACGGCCAGGGCCTTCCAGCCTTGGGGAAGCTGCCGCGGGGGGGCTTCCGGAGTCAGAGGCCTCGAGGGTCACCCGCACGAGCCGTCCCGGCTGGCTGCGCTCGGGCCGCAGTCTCCGTGGCTGTGTCCGCCGCGCAGGGGGTGGTGAGGATTCAGCGAAACGACTCACGGCCGGATCCTGCTCCGTCAGGGCTGCTGGTGGTCTTGGTGAGACCCCGAGCCGGGAAGGGCCCGCTCAGGGCAAGGCGTGAGCGCCCCACCGCCGCCCGGCCGTGCCCACCTCCCGGGACATGTCGTCCCTAGAAGCTCTGCCTGAACTGAGCCCCGTGGACCCTTCCTCTGTCCTGTGTAATGAGCAAAGCCCCGTCCGGGACAGCGTCCGGGGAGAAGGATTTCCTCTCTGCACCTGTCAGAGACCCCTCCCCGGGGCACCTCCCCCTGCCCCAGCCCGTGGCCCCCGTACCCCCACACCACAGCAGACAGACCTGCCCAAACCGCACTGTGGTGCCCACTCCTCTTAGGCCTGCAGCAGCTGCCCTTGACCTCGAGATACAGGCCAGACCTCAGAGGTGACTGAGGGGACGCCCATGCCCTGCCCTGTCCCCTCGGTGTGAGTCTCCCTCACGCGGAACCGTTCCCCAAGGTGCCTCTATCACCGCCAGCGTTCCCCAGCTCCTCCCACAGAACCTAGCCTCCCCGAACTCCTACACGTTCCTCAGAGCCCCTCAGGAAGCACCCCTCTCGTGCGGCCACAGCCCCTGGATGCCCCATCACAGCATTAGCGCCTCGGGTCATCGGGTTGTGGCTGCTGGGGCCCGCTCTCCCAGGCGATGGCCGGGTCCCTGGCACATGGCGCCGGGCTCCAGCCACGTCTGACGGGTGGGGGGTGGATGGCCGTGCCCCTGTCTCAACGCCCCCCCACCCCCCCCCATCTGTACCTGCCCTGGTATGAGTTTCACCTTCGCTCCACTCGGGGCTCTGCTCCGCGCAGCTCCGACGGAGGCAGACGGAATGGTCTGCCCTCCTTGACCCCCCGCCGACTCCCAGCTCCCTGGCTGGTGCCGGGAAGTGGACCCCTGGGCCCCGGACCCTGGGTCGATGCCTCAAGGACCGCCGTGTGCTAACGGGGGGAGCCCGGCCCAGCCGCTCAGGGTGGCCCCTGCAGCCCGGATCATGGGGGAGGGGCCCGGCTCGGTGGCCTGTGGCTGCGGAGCACGGGGAGCTGGTCGCTCGCTGCGTCAACTGGGCAAGTCTTCTCCCACTTGCTCGATGAGCAACATGGGGGACGTGGGGCTGAGCCCCAGAGAGGGCAGAGGCTGAGGAAGGACACGATGCCAACGTGACAGAACGACAGCGCAGTCCCCTCTGACCAGACTGGAGCCGGTCACACCCCTGCCACCAGGCTCAGGAAGGTCAAGCCGCCAGCCGAGGCGTGAGACCCAGGCTGGGTCGGGGGAGGCCCAGAGGGTGACCAGAGGAACGGGGGGGAGGGTCCTGCTGTGACGAGGACCCCCAGCCCCACCCCCGTCTGGGCCTCCCTGCCCCTCCTGGAGCATCAAGCTCAGGCAAGGCTGCCCGTTCGACAGAATAGCAAACGGGGGGAGGAAGCCGACCACAGACAGAAGAGTGTCACCCTCGCGTGACCTGACTCTCCTGGGACTGCAGAGTGGCCTCCTCGGGGTCCTGGGGTGCTGCCCACCCTGCTCCCTTGAGTGGCCATGCTGCAAGTGGGGAAAGCCCCCTCCCCAAGGCCACTTTCCCTTTGAGGAGCCGCAGGTGGAGGGTGGAGTGAGTCACCCTGCTGGGCCCCTGTCCTGGGTCCTGGTTTCTCTCTGATTCCCCAGGCGGAGCTGCCCTGCCTGCAGAGAAGACTGCATCCCCCCCGCCCCCCATTTCAGCAACAGGCTCTAACTGAGCCCACAAGGCCAGGAGGCCGGACGCAGTAGGTTTGATCCAGAAAGAACAATAGGACAGAATGCAAAGGGGCACGGATTTCGTTTTCCTCGTTTGCCCTTTTTGTCCTCTTTGGGATTAACAGGTTAAAAGGGTAAAAGATTGGTTCTGGTGCACCAGCTGACCTTCTAGAATCTTCCAGAACATTCTACCTATATAGCTTGCAGCCTGGGAATTTTGTAGACCCAGCCAAAGAGGAGCACCAGCATGGGGAAAAGAAGCTGGTAAGCAGTTCATGATGGGCAAGGTCAAGGTGGGGTGCTGTCAAGTATAGACGGTGGCCAGGCCCTCCGAGCTTAGGGACATTCCGCCAGCCTTCGTAGGGACAGCCCCTGAAGCTGGGGTGAGCTTCTCAGGGGCCTCCGAGTGGAGGGTCCCTGCCGGTGAGCTGTTCCAGGCAGCTGTGGGGCAGGGGCCCATGGAGGCCCCAGCCAGGCCTGGCCACAGGGAGTGAGGCTGTTCGGGTGCAAGAAAGATCCGGAGAGTCCTGAGCATGAGAAACACCGAGGCCTGACCTTCCCCAGAGGCCTGTGTGGCAGGCGCTGGCTCTTCTGAAGAGGCCGTGTGGCCCCAACCACGTCTGTGGAAACGCTCTTTCCTTGCGCTGGAAATTGCCCTTGTTTGTTAGAAAGAACTTTTCTATAGTTTACATTCTCTCTGCTTCTGACGCACTTAAGTTCGTATTAACATTTGTTTCAAACGCACACAGGGGTCTAGAGACCACGACGCCCACAAGCGCTCAGTCCCCCGACGGCAACACTTCCCACCGAAGGCGGCGTGTCCTGGATCTGGCGTTTCCGTGTTCGTGGACGCTCCTCACGCCCGTGGGTGTCGGCCGCGGTGACCTGGGGCCGAGCGGGTCGCCTGCTTCCTGCTCCTCGCGTGGCCTGCGGTTTGGAGGTTGGCTGTGTTGTCCACGAGGCTCCGGCTCACCTGGGCCAGAGCAGCGGCCCCTCTGCCTCCGCTGTTGCTGACGCTCTGCCTTAATCCCAGACTTTTCTTGCTGAAACTCCGTGCCTCTGCTCCGTGGCCCCCGTGGCCCCGGATGACGGGCCCCTGCCTGTGCTTGTTCATCCCAACCCCAGACGCCTCGGGAGGCGTGGGGTGCACACGCCCCAGGGCGGAGTGCAGGGCCCAGGCCCCCAGTGTCCGCACCCCCCCGGAATGTGTCAGAAGTTCTCGGGCCCTTGGGACCTGCTGAATCACACCCCTGGCGCTGGCTCTCCTCCCACCCACTTCTTCTGATTCGTTTGGGGGCCCCAGGGGGCTGCAGTTGTGCTGCTGCCAGCCCCCAGCAACACAGGAGGGGCCCAGGGCCCAGGGCGACCTGTAGGAGCCGTCCCCCAAGTCAGATCCACAGAGGTGGCAGGGGGTTCATTTTCCCAGGTCGGGGTGCGATGGGCTCACTTTGAAGCTGCGGTGGCCACCGAGCCCGGAATGGGGGAGACGAGGAGAGCGGAAGCTAGAGCACCAGATGCAGACCACACCACTGAGCCCCTGGATACAGCCATGCCTGGAGCCCTCCTGCATGTCAGCGTTACCCGCACTAAAACTTCCCCACTGTTAATGCTAGTTTGAACGATGTTCTGGACGTGGAAACTAAGGCAGCCCTGATGGACGTGGCATCTATTCACTCTGCGTTTATTTCTGTGTCCTGGCCACTTCCAGAAGGCTCTGTGACCTTCACTAGGTCTCCTTAACCTTGGTTCCACCTTGTCACATTTCTTGTCCGCTCTGGGCCACAGAGCTGAGGCAGCAGAACCCTCTGTTCTCATCAAGCCCCGACGCAGGTGCAGAGGCAGGAGTCCAGGTGTGGCCCGGGACCCCTGCGGGACCAGCCATCAGCACCGTCAACCCTGCCAGCATGGGGGTGGGGGCTCCCTGAGGCTCTGGGACCTCCTGCTACTGATGGAGTTCTGCATACCAGGCCCAGGCCCACCCTTTGCACCCTCAGGGGTCCCTGAGGCCCCCTCCCTGCCCCAGGAGGTGCTCGGCGAGGGGCTGAGGCACAGGGACTTCTCAGAAAAAACTGGAAGATCGTGGGGGTGGGGGCCCCTGGGGGGGGACAGATGCCGGCTCACTCGCTCCCGTGCCCACATCATCACCGAACGTGACAGACCCGTCACTCAGGACCCGGAAGCCGGCCCCACCCCATGTCCACCCTCTCCCCCCCATCTGGCTTCCCCAGGCTCACCCAGCCCCCTTCCTGCGGAGGGGGCCTTGGGATCCGTGGCAGGGAATCTGGGGGTCCTGGGTACCCAGAAACCCCAGGAAGGCTGCAGGGGACTCAGTCAACCTCAGTCCCCTGGGGTCCAGAGGCTCACAAGTGAGGGCTGGGGTGGGGGGGGACCAGGAGTCTTGTGAGAGAGGCTCTCCCGCCCCTTCTGCCGCCTCAGTGCCCACACTCACTCTGGTCCATGTGCTGTTCCATGCACGGCCCAGGCTCAGGGCCCCAGGGCCTCGCCCAAGTGCCATCTCCCCGCGAATGTCCCTGCCCCTGTGCCCGCAGCTCCCCCCTCCTTCCCTCCCCCTGTGCTCACAGCTCCCCCTCCTTCCCTCCCCCTGTCCCTGCAGCTCCCCCCTTCCCTCCCCCTGTGCCCACAGCTCCCCCTCCTTCCCTCCCCCTGTCCCTGCTCCCCCCCCCTTCCCTCCCCCTGTGCCCGCAGCTCACCCCTCCTTCCCTCTCTTCACCTTTCCAGACCACCTTGTTGGAAAGGCTCCCTGCCTTCCACCCTGCAGCCCCTCCCTACCCCTCCCTTCCCCTCCCCTCCCCTCTCCCTTCCAGGTTTGTTTTTCTCAAATAGCAGGTGTCACTTTCTGATGTGATAAACAGTTTATTATTAATTGGCTCCATGGAACTGGATTTTTGTGTTTTTTTATGTTTTTAAAAATTTATTTTATTTTTTTATTTTAGGGAGAGAGTGCGTGCTCAAGCAGGGGAGAGGGGCAGAGAGAGAGAGGGAGGGAGGGAGAAAATGCCAAGCAGGCCCCTCACTCAGTGCAGAGCCTGATGCGGGGCTCAATCTCACAACCCTGGGATTGTGACCTGAGCTGAAATCAACAGTCAGATGGTCAACCGACGAGCCCCCCGGGCGCCCCAAAATAGACTTTATTTTTTTAGAGCGGGATTAGAATCACAACAAATCTGAGAGGAAGGTACAGAGATTTCCCAAGTGCCATCTGCGCCCCCAGCCTCCCTCTCCCCCACGCCCCTGCCGGAGCAGTGCCTTAGAGTCGGGGGGCCTGCGGGGACACGCGTCACCACCCAGGCCCAAGGTCACCTTGGGGGCACGCCTGGTGCTGGCCATCCTGTGGGTCTGGACACGCGTTTGGACCCGTGTCTCCATCATCACATGCCAGACAGGGTATGTTCGGCCCCTAATGTCCCCTGGGCTCACCCGCCGCCCCCCCAGCCCTGCGGTTCTCTCGCGGGCTCTGCGGTGCTGCCCTTCCCAGATGTCGTGTGGTCGGACTCACAGCGCGGCCTCTCGGATTCGCTCCTGTCGCTTAACCTGTGTTTAAGGCTCCTCCATGCCTCTCCGTGCTCGCTCTCCTTGGGGCCGAATAGCCCTCCCCTGTGTGGATGGAGCGCAGTGTATCTACCCATCAGCGATGCAAGGGCGCCTCGGTCGCTCCCGGGCTTCGGGCCGTGACGGAGGCTGCTGGGGACCTCACGCCGGGACGTCTGCTGCGTCTCCGTGTCCCAACCTCCGCCTCCCAGCAGCTCCGCGTCACCAACCGCGTCTGGAAAGGCCCGGCCTTCAAATCCTGTCACATTCTGAGATGCGGGCTCTGGGCTTCACCATAGGAGCTTCGAGGGGACGCGGGTCAGCCATTCCTCCCTTGACGCTTTGGGCAGAGGGTGGCTGTGCCGACACCTTGGACTTGGCCTTCTGGCCTGCGGAAGCCCGGAGTGGGACGCGGCGCTGTGGTCCGAGCTCCCCCTCCCCCCCCCGCGGGGACTGCAGCGGCCCCTGAGCGCTGTGGGCACGGCCGGGACGTGCCTGTGGTCACTGGTTACCCCGTTTCACAGGGTGGGGTGGCCCCCCGCACCGTGCGGAGGCTCCCGGCCATCCAGGCACCCGCCTTCCACACACATGCTTGTCCTGTGGTGCACTGACTGGGCGGGGCTGTGCTCTGCGCTGGGGACCGGGCAGCAAACCCAAGTCCCGCCCGCGCCCCCCGCAGGTCTGGCTCTGGCTCATCGTGGTTCAGAACCCTGAGATCACCCCCCATCCCGCCCCCAGGGGCTCCTTAGTCGGGGCGCCTTGCAAACTGCTGTCAGCTCCCCCAGACGGCACACCTTCCCCAGCCGGACACAGCTGCCTCCCAGGCGGTGAGGACAGACTCCCAGGCTGGCTTGAGGCAAGAAAATGGCACATCGGGACATATTTGGATGTAAATATTTTCAGCCCCGGGAGTAGCTGGGAGGTGAGGTCTCCTGGAAGCCGGGAATCTGGGCCATATGTCTCCTCCCGCAGCTGCCTCTCGGCGGGAGGCGGGGAGGGAGGGAGGCTGCCGGCCGGGCCTCACTTTCCCCATCTGCCAGGCGGGGCTCCTGCACACCGGCAGCTCCGTCTTCTCTCTCTCGGCTCCCACCAGGCGGGGGAGGGACCGGGTGCTCTTCCTGGGGGAGAAGGGATGAGACTGCGGCCCTGGCCACACAAGGACCTCAGAGTTCCCGCCCCCTCCCGCCCCCCAGACTGAGCCCCTCACAGCGGACCTTCAGAGATGCCCGGGAGTCCAGGGAGACAGGAGCAGGTCAATGCTCAGCCTGGACTGGAGGGATGCCTCCGCTCCAGAGCACTCACTGGCTCCCTGTCCCCCGGGGAAGCAGGGCCAATGGAGCTCAGCATTCCAGGCCCAGAACAGGCCTCCCTCCGCACTCTCCTCCGCGCTGGCCTCTGGCCCAGTTCTTAGGGAATCCCCTCCCCCAGGGCGTCCACCACTCAGTTGGAGTCATCGGTGATTAGCTGACAAAGCCTCAGAGAAGGCCCAGGGCGTGGGTCCTGGCTGGAGGGCTCTGCTGGCCGCTGCAGGGAGGACCCTCCCCAATTTCAAATGGGAAACGGAAACCCAGGCGGGGAGGCTCAGTGGCCACCGCGGTCACGTGGCCAGGAGCGCAGCGCTGTCCTGACCCCGTCTGCTCGCTCTCTCTCTGCGGGGCCCCGACAGGCCCAGGGGTTCATAGGCACAAAGCTCTGTATTTTCCTGAGATGCTTTTGGCTGCAGGTAGCAGAGAATCCAGCCGACAGGGGCTTCCCTACTACAGGCGCTGAATCCCCTGGCAGCCCGGGGGAGGCGGCGGCGGCAGGTGCCTCGGCTCCTCCCACGCTTGCTCTGCCGTCCACTGTGTGTGGGCCTGGTGCCTTCTGGCTTATTGCCTCATGGTTCCAAGATCACTGCTGTAGCTCCGACTGTCACCACTTCTGGCCATCGCTTTCAAGGAAGGGAGAAAAGGAGCCAGGGAGGATGAGCTTTCCCAGAACCTCTGGGCAGGTCTCCTCTTCCAGCCCGTTGGCCGAAGGGTCACACGGCTGCGCCTCGCTACGCGGGAACACCCCTGGCGCCGCTCGTCTCTGGGAGCGCATGAGCTCGCCGTGGGCGCCTGGGACAGCGGGGACACGGGCTTGGAGAGGGCGGAAGGGGCAGGACCCGGAAGGGGAGGTGGAGCCTCTCTGAGGCCGGGGCAGAGGTGGGTTAGGAGGGGAGGACGCAGGCCTGGGCCCGGCTGGCGCTGGGCCCCCGGGTGGCGGGAGGCTGTGGGTCTGTCCAGGGGGGCCGGTGCCCTGGGCCTCAGGGCAGGCCCTTCATGTGGACCCCGGCATGGCGGCGGCGGGCGCAGGGGCCTGTCCCTGCCGGGCGCTCGGAGCAGCTCCAGGGGTGCAAATTCCCCCCCTTTCCTGGGCGGACGGCTGGGAGGCCGCCCTCAGGTCCAGGGGCTCCGTGGGGAGCTGAGGTGGCAGTTCGCTCTGTCCCAGGTGGCGCCCTCCCGGAGGCCCCTCTCGCGCCCCCACCGCGCCGTCCCACCACGGCAGGGCCCTCGGCAATGGCCGCCTCCTGGGGTGGCCGGGAGCCTCGTGCCGATTTGTGTGACGTCACGTGTGCACCTGACATGAGCTACGGGCCCAGAGAGGTCAGCTTGCACTGTTTGCACTGAGAAATTCTTTTAAAACGAAGCATCTTCATTTCGTTCATGCACCAAACATTTATTTTATGTTTACGGCGAGCAGGTGCCTGTCTCATCCCGGCCACCCCCAGCACCCCAACATCCCAGCACCCGAAGCTGTTCTTGAAACGCCAGCAGGTGCCCAATGGGTATTTGTTGAGTGAATGAGTGAATGAATGAGTGAATGAAGATGTGAACTATGGGCTCCTCTGTACTGGTCCCAGGAGGCTGTGGGTGTGCGCGGGCCCGGAGCCCCGCAGCTAGGAGCTTGCTCCCGAAGCCCCCCCATGACCAAGTCCTCAGGAGCCGCTGCAGTCGTGGGGGCCCCACGGACGGGCTGGCGACGCCTGGAGAAGCTCGTGTTCCCCAGAAGGTGCCGCAGGCCTCGGGGGCCATCGGGGCTGCGAGGGATCAGCAGGCCAGGCTGCACACTCAGCCACTGTGCCCACAGCCCGGCTGCACGTCCTGGATTTGCAGCAGCCTCCATGACTGCCCGGGCCTCAGTTTCCCCAGCTGGTGCTGGGGTGACAAGGCGTTTGATAGGCTCTGCGGAGCCCCGAGTGCAGAGACAGCCCCTGGAGAGCCTTGGCCACAGGACACCGCTGTGGCCGGGCGCCGAGGCACCTCAGTCTCCCATCTCGAACAGTTGCTGGGGGGCGGGGGGTGCTGTCTGCAGGCTCCTGGTTGGAGCTGTGAAGTCCCGGCCACATCCGGCCGCGTTATCGTGGTTCCTGGGAACTTCCCCCGGCCAGCCGAGAAGGTGGCCTCAGAGATACTGGGCACGGGGCGGGTCCTTTCCTGCCTGTGACACGATTAAATAACAAAAGCAGTTGCTGGTGGGAAAGTCGGCCGCGACACCGGCCATCTGGCCCTGCCCAGCTCTGCTCTGCCTCCTTCCCGGTTATCTCCACTGGCCAGGCTGCTATCGCCGCCAGGAGCGACCGGGCATCACAGTGGCCCGTGCTTTGCAAGAAGCTTCTGTCAAAATCTGCAGACAAATGCATGTACAAGCCGAGGGTCCTCACCCAGGGGCACCTGGAGGGCCTCCCGCCTGAGCAAGTCAGTCGCCGTCCTCCGACCCCGCTCCGCTAACAGTCTCCCCTACACCCCCCACCCCCCTCTGCAGGACGCTGCCTTGCTCACACCTGTGCTCCGCATGGGTTCACGGCAGCCCTGAGTCTAACTGAATCCAAAACTATGAAGCCAGGCCCATCTGTCGGCCAACTGATGAACACAGATGTGCTCTGGATTTCAGGGCTACTGGCAGCCGGTCAGAGCTGTTAGAAGCAGCACCTGCTGCCTGGCCCCCCCTGCGCCCCCACAGCCCCAGGAGCCTGGCAGCCCAAACAAGCCTTCCTCCGGAAGGGGCTGGCTCCTCCCATACCCACTGGGGAGCATCCTGGGGCAGGACCCACAGGGAGCCTCACCCAGCAGCTGGGAGGTGGGGACCCGCAGGGCCAGCCGGGCCCTTTGCCCTGAGACCCCACTGCGGGCCCAGGGGCAGAATTTCAGCAGCGACAGGGCCAAGCCCTTCTATGAATAGAGATGGACAGCAGCTAGGGGTAAGGCGTGGTCACCTCAGGGCCTTTGCACCCGCAGTTCCCCCTGCCCAGAACATTCTCCCCAGGGGACACGTGATCTGCTCCCCACCTCCTTGCTCAGACAAGGTTGGGACTGAACAAATATTACCCTTTGAATCTTGCCTTGGGATCCACATTAAAACCTGCCCACCTTAGGTGATGAACACCTTCATTGGTCTTATTTCAAGTAGGGAAGAGAAACCAAAAAGGCAGCCTTCCCTCCCTCCCCCCTCCGCCCCTCCCCCGAGGACAATGGCAGAGAGTGAGACCAGCCCAGTGACTCAGGAGTCCAGGCCCAGGCTGCAGCAGGGGGCAGGGCTGGGGGTGGAGGGGCAGAGCCCGCAGGGTTGCCCGGCGGGTGTGAACACAGAGGCCCCGGGCCCACAGGGAGGCCAGCCATCCCGTCCCGCCCACCGGAAGGGGGGCTGGTGTCTGGGCAGGGGGAGAACACAGAGGGGCCTCGTCCCTCTCCTGGGCTCCTGCCCTGGGTTTTCCCTGGGTGCGGACGTGCAGGGGCCCGCCAGGGCCATGGGGGGTGTGGCGGGTTGGGGGAGCCTCCTTCCGGGCACTTCCCTCCCTCCCTGAGGCCGGTCTCCCCGGCGCAGGCTGGACCCGCCAGTCCGGCCTGGAGGCCCGGGTGTGGGACGGGGCCCCGGGCTGCGCCCCCGCGGCGGCCGCTTCCTCCGCCACCAGCCGCACGGGCCTCACGGCCCAGACTCCGATGAACAAGCCCGGGGTTCTCACCGAGCCCAGAGCCGCGGCTCCCACGCCTTCGCCGCACACCCGCCGGATGCCTGCACGCTCCCGTGCGCTCCAGAAATTCGCGCACACTGCTTGCACGTGCGCGTGCACAGCTGCACACACACACTCTGAGCATCCCTCGCCCCGACCGGAGAGCTGCTGCTTCTCAGCGGTTTTTATCTTTTCGTGGCGAAACAAGCACACCCTCCTGCAGCGGAGCCTCAGGGGGG